CTTTAATTACATGAAAAATTTGGTTAAGCCCAAAAAATAAAAATGTACTTTCTTTTTTAGTTTTTATATATTTAGTAACTAAGTGAATGTTGATATGGATATGCATTTTATGTATTTGTATACCTTGGATACAAAGTTATAACTAAGGGATTATAAGAAATGTATAAATGAATTAATAGAAATCTGATGTGAATTTAAAATAAGTACGAATATATTTTCTCTGAATGTCCCGGTATGGCTGAGAGTGGGGAGAGTTAGCTCTCTGTGTGTGTGTGTGTTTTGAAATACTCTCACATGGACACATGTATATAGATACTGCCAGAGAAGTTCCACTCACTGTCTTCTTTCACCTTTAATGTTGTTTATGAAGTTGATTGGACAAAAAGCGAATGCTCAACATGCAAACCATGTTGTTGAATATGGGGGATCCACTTAGAGGAGTTGGAAAATCTTGATTCTAAACCAATGGTTCATATAGGCTCCAGAATACTGAAGGAAGCAATTGTTGTTGACTGAATCTTTGAACATTGATCCACTGTCTTGTGGATCATACCTTTAGATCAAACACTTCGGATGTGTCCCCCCCCCCTAACAAAACTATTTTTACTTCGGTTTAAGCACTCGGATAATATCACAGCCTACACACAAATCAAGTGACTTGTGTGGCACTTATGTATTTGGTTTGATTATGGTATTGATTGTGTAAATTGTAATTGATCAATTTCTTCTAGTATATGTTTTGTATATTTTGGGTCGACTGATACAATATTGTTGTAAAGTTTTAATCATTATTCTAGTCAGACTTAGATTGTGGCTAACAGTAGATTTCATGATGTCAGTTCCTTGTTATATTGAACTCATCATTTGAAATCAGTATTCATTTTTACTTCAGAAGTCAATGACTATTTGGATTCAGTAGATTAGTGGTCAATGTATTGATTGTTGGAATGTAAGACATTGAAGGAGACATCAATACAGATTTAGGATGCAGGTATATCTTGCTGACAAGTTCTAAATACGACAAAATGTGCACCCTCGATTGAATTGCTAGTCACACTATCCAAATTCAAACAATAATTGTCATCTAATAGCAGTGTCTTAGTATTCTACTCAGTATGAATATATATCAATAGAGACTGACCAAAATTCCCTAGCCCCGATATTGCCTTAATTCACAAGCATTCTAAACAAAGATGGGTATTGGCTAACAATGGAATTCAGGTAGCGCATTTAATCTTATTTAGGACTCGTCAGATGGATATACCTACATCTCAGAGTTGATGTTCACTCCGAGACTTAAACCCAGTATCATTCGCTTCAAATGTTATCACGTTATCCACTTAACTATTGAGTCCTAATAGCCACTTGCTTGTGCAGTATAGCTAGCTGCATCCAATTGATGAGCCCCAAATAGGACGAAATGGGTGTATTTCATCTCACTGTTAGCCAACATCTATTTTTGCTGATAATAAATATTTTGTTTAAAACTATTCTTTTTAACAAATTGCAAATGAAAGGTTGAATGATTCATTTTATAATTTCGGTGGGAAATTTAATGACATATTAGAATCATTAAGCGTAACAAAATCAAGAACACCTTTTTCCACATACCTGATTTAAAGTTTCTTACTCGCTTACTTACTTGAACCTGTTGCTGCTCATGGAGAAGTATAGGTTGCACACCAGTATTCTTCATCCAACTCTGTTCTGGATAATCCTTTTCACTTGTGTCCAGTTATTATTCATCCTTTTCATGTCTGCTTCCAATTCCCAACTCAGTGTGTTCTTTGGCTTTCCATTTTTCCGTTTCCCTTCAACATTCCAACTTAGCGTTTGCCTCGTGATGCAGTCTGATTATTTTCTCAATGTGTGTAACATCCACTCCTAATGTGTTTTTTCCTAATTACCCCTTTTGGTTAGCGCTTTTTAGCTGCGTTGTTTTCTACAAGATAGGGTTGCTGATCCCATGTCCAACCTTCCTCATTTACCCGGGCTTTGGATCAGTAGTAGCCCTAGAAGGGCTACACGCGGAGTTGACTTTTTATTTACTAATATTTTACTGAGTAGGTTTGTTTAAAGCCAAACAGTGATCTTTAACTATATTTGAATAATATTCAAATATAAGTTCCCAGTCTTGTGCCCTATTGATATATAAACTTAATGATACCGCCAACTAGAGAACAGTAACTTATCAATAGAACTAATAATGCATAAACCCTTACAAACAGTTTAGAGTCTTTATCAGTCCTTCTTCCTAACTAGCCCTGTCTGACTGTTGAGTCCAGGACATTAATTCCAGCCTCAGTGATATAAATCATTCATTTCAAACATACTCGGTTTATAAATTCACTTGGTATTATTTGCTGGTATCTTTCCATTGTTGTTAACGACTGCAATTGATCAGTCTCTTGTTAGCATATGAGCATCCTATGCTGTCACAAGCATTATAAGCAAAGATTGGTAGTGGCTAGCACTGGAATTCAGTATGTGTGTTTCATCTTATTTGGGACTTATCAGCTGGATATACCTACATCTCAGAGTTGATGTCCACCCTGAGACTCCAACCTAGTACTCGGTTTATATAAAAACCAAACAGACCAAATCATAGTACGAGGTCTAGCCAAAAGTGGCTGTGAATATGGTAGATTGTGATGAATAGACTGGGCACAACTCAAGAATAGTAAATCGTATAATAATAGTCTATGGGTCAAAATAAAGCTTATAATGAGAGAAATATGAATATGCATAATTTAGTTGCATAACAATTATACAATAAGTAATATCTGTACAGTATTCGTCCATAAATCGATTCCAACAGTTCCCATCCACTATTCTCATCAGGATATAACAAAAATGCCATTTCAACAATGATAATTTTTGTGGTTATCTATTCATTTTTCAACATTCAGAAAGTGTTTATTACGGGAATTGTTGTACAAATCTAGTGATTGAGTGTTACATATAAGAGTTCAATTTCCGATGAAGATTTCATTCCAATTTCTAACTTATAATAATTGAATTTATCAATCGATATAAGCTAGACCATCATGAAAAACCTGAAAGCACTGGACGGCCGTTTTGCAGTAGTGTGGGACTCCTCAGCAATGAGCATCCATGATCTCACCTCCCCGCGATGTTCAAACCCAGGACCTATCAGTCTCGCGCGCGGGCGCTTAACCATCTCCATAAAACCCCTTCTGACAATAATCATCTGCTCACTAGTGACTGACTTCAAGAGGCATTTCCTGGAGTTCTAGTGAGAAGCCATGACCAGTGAAGTTCAAACAGGTCTGTTGTGAGATATCAGCTCACTGAAGACATTGGTGTACAGTGACTCAGTTTCGTGGATTGGTTGAAGTTAGACATTAACACCGTTGGATACCGACCAGCCCATTGGTCTAATGGTTAAGCGTTCACACTCAAGCGGGATCGTAGATGCGCACTGATGAGGAGTGCCATACTATGGCGAAACAGCCGTCAAGTGCTTCCAGGTTTTCCATGGTTGTCTACCTTCAATTGACGTATGATTGAAATTTCTATGATGAATCAGTTTTTCGAAAAATTATTATTGAAATTTACGGCGAGACTCTAACTTATGGACGAGCCAGTCACAGGCGTTTTAGAGGTTTCAAGGTTACGGCGTCAACTTCAGTGCTTAATGCTAACGTACAATCGGTTCACAAGGAATTATGTACAAAACGTGATAATTTAGCGGCTATAACAAATAAAACGGCGAGACTATAATTTGTGGACGAAACAATTAGGTACGAGATAATAGATCTCGAATTTGAACGTGAAAGCCTTTCATCCATTCGGCTAAATAAATTTCTGGGATTATAGCTTGTGTCAGTTCGTGATGAAAAGCCTATATATAATTCCTAACTAAGGCAAATTACGACAATTATTGCGAACTGGATAATAAAAGCATCAGTAACACTGGTTGCAGCCGGGTACTACAATATATACGGAAGATTGGAGAGCGTACAGACTCCTACATAGGCCTGGTTATGTGCATCGTGTCGTTATCCACAAGTAGCATTTTGCGTACTCAATAACCGGAGTGCACACAGACAATATTGAAGCTATGTGGTCGAGGCTGAATGAGTTTTTGAGACTTTATCATGGCTCCAGAGGCCGACTGTTCCGTAGCCATATGGATGATTTCATCTACTGCATGCATTGCGATTTTAGAACCTCTGAACCTCTTTCTACCAATGACAAGTCTTTAAACCATGTATAAGAAGTGTATCCAGTTTATTTCCTTGGTTTTGTATATCATATTTATACTCTATACTGACTGTTTGCTGATTAGCTAATATTTCTCAAGGTTACTTAAGATTCGTTCAAAGGTCGTCCATAAAATGAAGTCTCGTCGAATTTACTTACCTCTTTGATCTGTTCAACCTTCTACTACCAACAGACATTCTATTCCTCACTACCATTGTATACTACTTATATCGACATAAGTACCTGACATCATATGATTACGTAATCATAATCATAATCATAATAATGTAATCCCAATTGATTGATCACTGGGTGGTGATCAATGTCATGCGTGTCTAGTCCTTATTAGTGCAGATCGAATGCTATCGACTAAGTTGTAATGTAGCCACTAGTCTAAAGTGACTAGACTCTGTGGGCACTATATATTGATACTAGATGGTGGTTGTAGGTAGTCGACAGGAAACCCTGAACCCGGGTTTCGTGCTACTTGGCACTCGTCAGCAAGGTGTACCTTTAATCTTGATGGAACTGGTTCTTCCTGACAGATTCGATCCCGTATCATCCAGCTTCACAATCAGAGACGTTACCACTGAGTTATCCAGGTCACCACTGACCCCTTCTGTAGAACTGAGATGTAATCACAATTCATTAATCACTGGGTAGTGATCAATGTCATACATGTCTAGTTCTTATTATTAGTGCAGATCGAATACTATCAATCATAATTCGATGTTTACATATATATTGATTATTATTATTATGATTGATTTTAGGTGGACAACGTGCTGAACGTAAAAAATGGTTACATTGTTTTGAAGGTGTTACTGCTATATTATTTATAGTTGCTATGTCAGAATATGATTTAAAATTAGCTGAAGATCAAACTACAAATAGAATGCATGAATCCTTACAATTATTTGATTCAATATGTAATAGTCAATGGTTTGTTGAAACAAGTATGATATTATTTTTAAATAAAAAAGATTTATTTAATGAAAAAATACAAAAATCTCCATTAACAATATGTTTCCCTGAATATACCGGAGAACAAACTTATGAAGAAGCATCAAATTATATAAGAGAAAAATTTGAAGATGTTAATCGTAGAAAAACAACTAAAACAATTTATACACATTTTACATGTGCTACTGATAATAATAATATACGTGTTGTATTTGATGCTGTAATAGATGTGATTATTAAATCAAATTTAAAAGATTGTGGTCTATTTTAATAATTCATTATCCATAGATACTACTGATTAATTGATTGAAATCAGTAGTGTATACAATTTAGTTTTAAAATGTTCATGAAATATTGAATAATGAATTCAATAAAACACCACCACCATCACCACCACCACAACAACAACCGCCACCACCACCACCACCACCACCACCATCACTACCAACAACATACACACATACGGATGCACACGTACACACCCACAATGTATACATATCAAAATAGAATCGATTTAAACACGTGTATGTGTGTGTATGTGCGGAGGAGGGAGGAAGAACATACACAAAATGTTTTTTGTTTGTTTGTTTGTTTTTTTTTTAAAAGAGAAAAAAAAACATAAACAAAGATTGTTCATTTGTATTTATAAAACAAGGGGGAAAAAATAATGCCAATTTGGCTAATTCATTTAATAATTTTCTTCTTTTTTCTTTTTTTTTTACTTTACCTTAGCTTGACTCTTAATCTTTTTGACAAACTTTTTTTTTTCTTCTTTTCATTGTTCTTATTAAGATTTTATAATGATTATAATAGAATCAATTTAATGTATTTCATTGAATAATGGATAGTGTAATGATTAGTATGATTGTTTTCAATGGGATAATGTTTATTGACTATAATACCTAATTCTTCTGCTCCTCTTCCTCCTTTCCTTTTTCTTTTCCCCCTTCTTCTTCTTCTTCTTCTTCCTTCTATTATCCGGGCTTGGAATCGGTAATAGTGTTAGAAGAGTTATAAATGGACTTCTATTTTAATGATAATCAGGTTAAAAATAATCAAATGAAATGTCTTCTTTATTTTTAACGAGCAGGCTATATCTCGTGTTTTATTTGTATTATTACTATTATTATTATTCCAAAATTACACTTATTATAAATGTACTATAATGTACTATTTGTTTAGTCTTTTTAAGTTAAATATAACATTGTGATCATTGAAATTTGACAACATTTTTACTAGTAACACCTTCTATAATCATCGAAACGTGTTAATCCAATGAAATCAAAAGTTAGAAGTGACGAGGTTCGAATATATATTTTCTGATTAGAGAGTAAGTGTTCTATGAGATGGAATCGCTAATTTCATACTCAACCCTCCTCCTTTATCTGAACTTGGTACTAGGAGTAACTCTAGAAGAGCTATAGCTGAAGAGATTCGTAAATATATTTAATAAGTTATCAATATATTGAGAAGTGACTGATTTAAACTATCTAGTGGTTGTAGGAATAGTTGAGAACAGTATATCCATTGATGATATGGTGCCGAGTTATGCACTGAGCTCTTTCAACTAGGTGAGTACAATAAAACTAAGATGGTCAATAGCAAATGTTGAAGACTTACAGAGCTATTGATTTTAGGGATTTATTTATCGTTACCATATTAATAGTGAGACAAAAATAGCATACAATATCAGTATGGGGTTGTGGAGATTATTAACTTTTTGATAGAGATCATGAACCGATTGATGTTAGACTCCCTTTGGATACCTGGAAGCATTGGATAGCCATTTCGACCTGTTGTAGGACTCCTCAGCAGTGGGTATCCACGATCCCGCCCGCGGGATTTGAATCCAGGTCCTTCAGTCTTGCGCGCGAACGCTTAACGTTTAGACCACTGAGCCGGCGTCCAACGGGTCTAGTTCTAATGATGGCCATGACGGCCATAGTAAGAGTACATTGTATGAAATTCAGGGAGGGAACTAAAACACAACTTCATATCATTTCATGAAACTATTGACTATTTTGAGATAGAATGGTGGTTGGAGTTAGTCAATAGGAAACCCTGGACCAGGGTTTCGTGCTCTTTGTCACTCGTCAGCAAGTCGAACCTGTAATCTCGAGGGAACTAATGCTCCCTGACGGATTCGATCCCGTATCACCCAGCTTCACAGTCAGAGACGTTACCATTGGGCTATCCGGGTCCAGGGTTTTCTGTTGACTACCTCCAACCACCATTCTATCTCAACATAGTGCACGCAATGTCGAGTCACCTAGACTAGTGGCTACATTGCAGCTTGGTCGATAGAATTCGATTTACTCTAAGGAGGACTTGACACACATGACATTGATCATCACTCAGTGACCAATCAATTGTGAATACTACTGACTATTGCAACTATATGGATAAATATAGACTATCGACTGTTGAAAAGTCTGGATAATAAGGCTTAAAATAGATCATAATGCATAAAAATGTATCCACTGATTGTTATCTCTCAGATCTTACTTATCAAAAATGTCTTATACATTTGATTATACTATTCAAGTCTAGTTTCGCTATTAACACTGATACTATTATCATTATTACTCTGAATTTTATCTTGTTATGATATTATGATATAACCACTTGAACCGATGCACATGATGACCAGGTTCTAGGTTGCTTATATAACTAACTAACTGAAGGTATTTTCTCTCTCATTTGATATATTTGTCATAAGTATAATTAATTATTTTTGAAGAATATACCTACAATTGTGATGTATCCTACTGATATTGACAGATATAAGTAGTAGTATGTATCATTAATCGAAAGGGAGATGTCTGACAATAGAAGGTTAAGTAGATCGACAAGAACGAGAACAAAGAGTGATTGGTTTAGAAAAGAAGAATCAGATAAATCTGAGACAATTGATTGACATTTTTGCAAATGAAGTATCTACTGTATGATTCTCAGATGTTACTAAGAGATATTGTAATTTTGTGTTGTAGTACATTCGATTGTCCCCATTTGCATTCTCATTCACTACACTGTTATATCAGTTTTAAAATATGATTGTTTAATAGAAGGTATAGAAAGGTTGAACATAGTTTAAAATAATAACCCTGAAAATAATCCATTGATTCGTTGAACTTACTTACGCCTGTTACTCCTAATGGAGCATAGGCCGCCCACCAGCATTCTCCAACCCACTCTGTCCTGGGCCTACTTTTCTAGTTCCATCCAATTCGTGTTCATTTTTCTCATGTCTATGTCCGTTTCCCGGCATAATATGTTCTTTGGTCTTCCTCTTTTCCTTTGGCCCTCAGGATTCCATGTGAGGGCTTGTCTTGTGACACAGTTGGGTGCTTTCCTCAATGTGTGTCCTATCCACTTCTAGCGCTTCTTCCTAATTTCTTCCTCCGCTGGCATCTGGTTTGTTCTTCTCCACAGTATGTTGTTACTAATAGTGTCCGGCCAACGAATCCGAAGTATTTTGCGTAGACAACTGTTAATAAAAACCTGTATTTTCTGGATGATGGCTTTCGTAGTTCTCCAGGTTTCTGCCCCATACAGTAGAACTGTCTTGACATTTGTATTGAAAATCCTGACCTTGGTGTTGGTTGACAGTTGTTTTGAGTTCCAGATGTTCTTCAATTGTAAATATGCTGCTCTTGCTTTGCCGATCCGCGCTTACACATCTACATCAGACCCACCATGTTCATCAACGATGCTGCCCAAATATGTAAACGTTTTTACATATTCCAAATCGTCTCCGTCAATTTTGATTGGATTGGTGCATGCTGTATTGTATCGGAGAATCTTGCTTTTCCCTTTGTGTATGTTGAGACCTACTGCTGCTGAGGTTGCTGCTACACTGTTCGTCTTCTCCTGCATTTGTTGTTGCGTTTGGGATAGAAGGGCCAGATCATCTGCGATGTCTAGGTCGTCAAGCTGCATCCTAGATGTCCACTGTATCCCGCGTTTCCCTCCACATGTTGACGTCTTCATGATCCAGTCGATCACCAGGAGAAAGAGAAAGGGTGAGAGTAAGCAACTTTGCCTGATTGATTCGTTGAAGAAAAGACATATATAATTCAGTGAATAGGTTTTCACTTCTGACAAGATCAGACAGTGAAACAGTACAGTTGTATTTATAATTAGTTAACAATGATTAATAACAGAAATCTGTCTTGCTTACTTACTCATGTTACCCATCGTGAAGGAGCATAGGTTACCTACCAACATTCTTCATCCAACTCTGTCATAGCCAATCCTTTCCACTTGTTTCCAGTTGCTATTCATTCTTTTTATGTTTGCTTCCGGTTCCCGATTCAGTGTGTTCTTTGGCTTTCCACTTTTCCCCTTCCATTATAGATATCAAGTTAGCGTTTGCCTCATGATGCAACTTGAAGATTTCCACAGTGTATGTTCTATCCACTTTCAATGTCTTCTCTTGATTTCCTCTTCACCTGGAGACAGATTTGTTTTCTCACACAGTAGGTTGTTGCTGATGGTATCCGGCCAACAGACACTGAGTATCTTGAGTAGATAATTGTTTAGAAATACTTGTACTTCTTTGATAATGATTGTGATAGTTCTCCAAGTTTCAGCTCCGTACAGTAGAACTGTCTGGACATGAGTATTGAAGATTCTCACTTTGATGTTGGTTTGAAGACTGTTGTTTTGAGTCCCATATATTCTTCAACTGTATGAATGCTGTCTTTACTTTGCAAATCCTCGCACTCACGTCTGCATTAGATCCCCCCTGTTCATCGATGATGCTGACAAAGTATGTGAATGTTTCCACCTATTCCAGAGCCTCGCCATCAAGTGTGGTTGGGTCTGTGTTCTCCGTGTTGTATTTGAAGATTTTGCATTCGCCCTTGTTTATGTTGAAACCCAATGATGTAGATACTGCCACTACATTGGTTTTCGTGACCTACATTTGTTCGTGTGTAGAAGGAGCAGGTCATCTGCGAAGTCTAACTTTTCCAGTTGATTCCGAGCTGTCCATTGTATTCCGTGCTTCCTCTCAGATTTGGAAGTCTTCATAATCCAGTCGACCACTACCAGAAGAAACGGAATGAGGGAGGGTATGTAGCCTTGTCTGACTCCGTCTGACGCCTCACTTGGAATCCATCTGTAAACAGTCCTATAGGCGCCAAACGGCACTGTATTACGTCGTGTGAATTTCAGATGATAATGACGATCTTCCCAGATACACCATAGTGTCGAAAAAGTTTCAATAATGTACTCCTATCCACACTGTCAAACGCTTTCTCATGGTCA